AAAGAGAGAGAGAGAGAGAGAGAGAGAGAGAGAGAGAGAGAGAGAGAGAGAGAGAGAGAGAGGGACACTCGCACGATTCAATTAAAACACAAAAGAAACCGCTATTAAAAAACAGTTTTTTTTTTCGAACGGGCGCTCGCCGAAAGTAAGAAGGTTTCTCTTTTGGAAACGGCTCCGGTCTATAACCATTGATGTGCAAGCGGAGGGCCTAGGCGCGTAAAGGTATACACACGAGCGCGTTCTCACGGGGGCCCCGCACAGGAGAAGAGGGAACCCGGGTGTTCTCTTTCCTTTTCGCTTCCCTCTATATATCGTTTCTCGCCAGCCTCCGGCCGCGTAGACTGGTTCCCTCCGAGCTTCCTTATAAACTTTATTGAATTCTTTGTAATACGCCAAAGGGTTCACCGTGCAACCGGTAAACGCCGCGCTCGCGCGAACGCCATTCATATGCTAAACAATAAATTCGTTGAAAGAAACGTATATCTATCTGTCGCCTCTCTTTCTCTCCTTCCTTTTCTTCGCCGCTACCAAGAAGAGAGGAGAGCGCAGCTGCCGGGAGAGAGAGGAAGAGAGAAAGAGAGAACGACTCGCGCGTATCTTATATATATATATACTATATATATATGTAGTGTATATATATATATATATATATGTACACGTACGTTGTCCGGTTAAAGACCAAGAAAAAGATGATACCTAGAGCTATTTAATGAAGAAGGGTGCAAGATGTACCTTCTGCATGACGGCGATTGTGGCGATGGTAGCGGTGAGACCAGCTGCCGCTAAAAACGAAGGAACAATGAGTTCGCCGCGATGACGCACCATTCCGAACAAACGCGCCCGTAAGTGGGTCATCGGGGATTTCTAATATTATGCAGTGGGAATTTAATTTATCTCGATGACGCGTTAACGTATACATGTGTACATTAATTGTTTGTGTCGCACGTTTTGTGTAAACGTGTCAATTCTTCGAGGACTGCGCGTGACGTCACTCGTGTCTTCGAAGACTATACAGGCTTGTTTTTTTTTATGTCACGCAGATATAGTTTTTAGTTAAAACAATTTTAGTAGGTGCAAAGGCACATCGAACTGTTAGGTTTTTTTCCGTCACGGGATTTCGCTCTGAAATATTTTGTTTTCAATATATTTATACACATTGCGCTAGTTTGTTAAACATATCTCGGCCTAAATATATAAGGAATAAATAAATAAATAAATACCTAAGTGTAAATAAATTGCTTTTTTGTTAAATTACGTCCAGGAAGATTCCTTGGATTGTTGGCGGGTTTTCTTTTTCAAACGACGCCGAGAGTTTTTCTCCCCGAGAGAAATCGCTCTCGAACAATTGACGTTACGAAAACGCAGCCACACCTGCCGCGTTACGATCATTGTTATCAATTCAATTGATACAAGTGACTTTGATGAGAGCTTCGCATCTTTTCGTTCACGTTTCTCACTTTGGACGTTTCGTCAATTGTTTTGTGTCGATCTTCGCGTGAAATCCGAAAAAATCGATCCTCTTTCTCGAGAACGGTGAAACTGATTTCCACCACGCTCGGTCGATTACAAATTTAAAGGTCGTCGCGGTTGGTTGAAACTGACCTAGAGTCCCCCACGTGGGTGACCAGTCGCGTTGATCGAACGATCGCCGCGATTGGCTGACGGACGAAAACACGTGACGGGACGAAAACTCTTCTCATTTGTCAACGACGACGAATGAGTCATCGTGTGCGAACGCGCCTTGACTCGTTTCGAAGCTTCCGAACACTCGAAACGTCAGGAGGACTGTGCCTTCAAAAACATGGGTTTGTTTGGAAAATCGCAGGAAAAAAATCCTAAAGAAATGGTGAGGATGATCCCGGGAAACGTTTGTTTCGCTGTCGTCTTACTGACTCTTTTGATTTTGTTGCAAATGTGTGTGTAGGTTCAGGAATGGACTCACAAGTTGAGAAAAGAAGGTTACCAACTTGACAGGCAGGTTAGAGGTGAGCCGCGACGAGGTGTTTCTTTCCGAAAAATCCTTGAAAACTAAAAAAAAAAAAAAAACAACGGAATTGTTCATTTGCCAGCAGGCTAAGTGAATCGCGTGAATCTTAATTGTTTTTGGCTTTGATTTTCTTAGACAATCGAGATGTGACATGTTGCACACAGGTTAGGCATTTAAATCAAGTCAAGTCTCACGCAAGTTTTTGACATTGAGGAGAAGATTCGTAGAAAAATTTAAAAATTTACGGAAATAAATTTTATTGGCGATGTTTCTTTTTCCTGCCGCTCCGTAAAATCGATGTTTGTTTGTGACACAGCGATTCAGAGAGAGGAGGATAAGGTGAAACGTTCCCTCAAAGAGGCAGCTAAGAAGGGAGACAAGGATGTGTGCAAGGTTCTCGCGAAGGAGATCATACGAGCTCGCAAAGCCTGCAATAAGATTTACACGTCCAAGGCGCACCTGAATTCCGTGTCGTTGCAAATGAAAAATCAACTCGCCACGATCAGAGTCGCCGGTTCTGTATCCAAGTCGACGGAGGTGATGCAGGCGATGCAGTCTCTGATAAGAGTGCCCGAAGTGGCCGCCACCATGAGGGAGATGTCCAAGGAAATGATGAAAGCTGGAATAATCGAAGAGATGTTGGACGAAACTATGGATTCAATTGAGGATTCGGAGGATATGGAGGACGAAGCTGACGAGGAAGTCGATAAGGTAAGTCGAGATAAATTTATCTCCAAGAAAATATAATCTTGTTGTTCACCTTTTGCAATGTGTATATACGCAGATCCTGTGGGAGGTAACGGCCGGTCAGTTGGGCACAGCTCCCGCGGTTGTCACAGAAAATCCCGGATCAGTCGTGGCGTCAACCTCCGCCGAGGAGGAAGCGGAAGATGACGACAAAGAACTCGAAGAAATGAAGAACAGACTACAGAGTCTGCGAAGTTAAATAATAAATGCTTAAAACAAAATCCAACAATTATTTGCACCAATTGTCAGGGACAAATAAGTATTTTTTCGTACCGATAACGCTGATTAGATGTACAATAACATATTACATGTAACAAATACTTCCGCTTAGCAATTGTAATGTATTAGTTTTTTGCTATTTAACTGTAAATATTGTACACTATGTCGCTTTTGTAGAGTACTTAAGCGCGTTTCCCTTTCTATCATATTTATCCTTGAGATAATATAAATTTTCCTTACGCATGTATATAATTAATTAATTAATAATTATTGAGAGTGAAAAAAACATGTAAGTCACAATGCTAAAGGAAAAAAAACTGTGGGAATTTAATTTAATTTGATTTTAAAGAAAATCATCATCAATTGGAAACGAGATTTTTAAGTTAAATTTTACAAATTTTCTCGCACAAAGCATTTACAAGCAATTTCTCCTCGACACAACGCAAATGCTTTGGCATCTAAACGTCGCATCGTCGCTTGTTTTTTTTTCACACTTCGTAGTTTATTTCACGCAATATGTGATATCTAGCACTTGTAAGGTGCAAGCGAGCTTCTCAAAGAGAAGCTTCTTGAAAGAGAAAACGTTAATATATATAAAAAACAAACTGTTGATATACTGTTTTTTATACACGTTCTTTAGGGGAAAGAGCCACTGCCAGTTATCGACGCGCAAATTTTTAAACAAATCTTGTTAATTGCGCAAACAACCCCTCGTCGAAATCTCGCGGGCCCGGTCTCTTCCTTCTGTCCGGATTTACTTACTAGGAATTTGTGCATCGACAATCGGGTCTCGGCTCTTTGTTTGCCTTTTCACGTGTTGTTTTTCAAAGTTGCAACTCTTTACGTCTGAGAATTGAATAAATTCTCTCCTCGTTTTATACAGTATTGATGATTGTTGGTTGTCGTTAATTATTTGAATGATTTTACAATATTTTCAACCACTTGTAGCAAACATATATTTTGTGAGAAAAGAAAAATGTTGTTAACGAATAAAAACTGCAATATAATATTATTTATAAGAACTGGAGAGTGATTCTTCTTTTTTGTTTTACATTACTCAAACATGTGATAAAAATAAATTTCTTTGTCCACATATGTATAATATTTTAATAATTTATAATATAATTTTAAATATTTTTTATATATATGTATAACATTTGAGTGATTTCGGTGTTCTCTTTCTCTCTCTGTCTTTGTGTGTGTAATGTTTCGATAAAAAAACAACTGCAGAAACAGATTTCTCTTGAGAAGATAAAATATATATATATATATATAATATATATTTAATCATATATTATATTCAAATGTACATATTAATGTACATGTGTTAAATGTACATATAGTCTAAATATATTAAAGATAGATCGTGTAAACTAAAGAATAGTAAATCAAATTTTTTTATGTAATGATAAAGAACTTTTATGTTCTATAAAGTTTTGATTCTTATTTTATAATTTACTCATTCCTATTTTTGTTTGGTTGTTTGTTTGTTTAGTAAAAGAAATTGACATGTATTTTGTCTTTATAAATTATTAAATAAAAATTTTGCTACAAATTTTAACAATATTATGCAGTGAAATTGTTTAATAATATGCAATAAAAAAATCAGTTAAGATCAGCAGATAACTGTTCAATCAAGTTCAAAGATCGATATTTCTCAATGACTGCTTAGTATTCATCCAATTAACTTTTTATTAAATAATCTAGTAATAAGGTGTAAATCTGTTAAAATCCATGTGAATTATTTGTAACCACTTTGAGCGCAACTACAGTTTCGCCGATCGAGCTAATCTCCGACTCGAGCATCAGCCGTGATTGGTCAATTTTGCTGAACGACTAATGCGATCGATCAATGTCTAAAATGATCGACCTGTCAAGTTAATCGGAAATTGTGAAACCGGTTGTTTTT